GGCTCGACCGCCAGGCACGGCGGCGAAGACCACCGTGCTGCGCGAGCCCCTTCCCTTTCCCATTTCCTCTGTGCATCTAGCCCGCAGCGGGGGTCAAGGTCTAGGTCGGGCCACCACGCCGTGCGCGCGACCCTCTGTTTCATCTCCCCCCTTGCTTTTCTTTATCCATCTTCACTGCAACAGAGAGAAAGACACAGGAGATCCTCCTCTGTGCCTGACGGACGATGACGATCCGTGGCGCCGTTGCCTCCCCTTTGCCGGTGACGCGTTTCCCTTAGCGGAAGCGAGCCACCGTCGAACGGCGGGGCTGCGATGCCCCCTTTGCCCTTTGCAGGGTGGTGTCCTTCTTTCGGATGCCTCGGCTTGCCGATGCACATATGAATCGAGATGGACGGCGCGGCCTTGCGGCGACGCTCTTTGCCGGCGAGGCCCGAGGCCATACTTCGGTTTACTTTTGGGTTTTTTTGTTTGCTTTTCTCTGCCCTGCTAGGGTTCTTTGGGGGAGGGGGGGATAAAGTTTTGCTTTGATTTATTTCTACCGAAAAGTCTAAAACCAATCTGGCTGATACCATTGATGGATTGACTTTGGATCGGGTAGGTTAGATCATCGGTAGTCCTACCTTCACTCTGCGTCGATGATCCTGCCGAGGTGGCCACGATGTATGGCAACGGCGGTGATGGCAGAGAGTGGATGGCGGCGGTGGTGGAGCTTCCCATGAGCTCCGCGCTAACCCTAGACCGGTAGGGAATATCGGTGGGGTTTGTCGCGGCGATGAACTTTGTGTCCCATGCCCCGGCCCCCCACCTCTGTTTATATATTGCGGGTCATAGGGGCCCATGAACCATACGTGGGTTGGGGGCCCACCAACCATACGTGCGTTGGGCGCCCCTGATTAGGGCGCGAGTCAAGGGCCCGTTCGACCCGTTGGGTTCGATTGGGAGGAGATCAACCTAACACAAAATGCCGGTGCAACACAAATTTAGACACTTCATGTGTATTTTACCTCTTATACACTGCAACGCAGAAGATATCTTGGGGCAGATTTATGCACGACACGTGATCGATGCCATCCATCACTTTGGCTCCATGGGTTAGCGCCATAGATCACAGCTTCGTTCATAAATCGTCCGCCAAGGAGTCCTGTGCACAGTGATTTCGTACAAGTTATGCTCTTGAAGAAGAAAAAAAGCATAACCATGAAGGTATGGCATCGCCAAATCGTGTTGATCTCCATACGGGGTGCATACAAGGTCTACTTTTCACTTGCCCGCTCCAACAAATACCCCTAGGGAACACAACGAAACGAGCCATGCCCGCAGTCCGCACAATACTACATTCCGGAAGCACGCTTGCCACAGAAATCCAAACAGAATTGAAAACCAGAGTCTTTGACCAGTAAACTGTTCCATTTGTCCTCATCGAAATCGACTAGACATTCTCACACTGGCGCAGAAGATCTCCGTCCGATTCCGGCTGAAATGTATCGAGAAGAACGAGCGGTAGAGCTCTGTTGGTGTTGGAGGCTGAGCATGCCGAGACGATCTTGTCCAGCTCAGACAGCGACGGCAGGCGGGTGGCGAGATGAAAAACGGAACGGTACTGAAAAGGGTTGACGGACTTGAGGTCGTCGCTCCTTGGCGGTCCAGCTTAAGATAAGGCTTCAGAGAACTCCAGATGAGATGCAACTAATTGTGTGGATGTGATGACGCTGCAAGAGTGTTTTTGTACCCCTTTGGGACCTCAGCGAGGCTGAGCATACAACATTCCAACTCACACTTCACAACACAAAGGCAAAACCATGAAAGAAAGGCCGAGCAAAGGTACCCTACTCTGTCCCCCTGATTAGTAGAACTACTGCATAACATCCATTTTAGCTTTTGTTATGCTGTCGGTTGTCTTTATTGTTGTGGGTGCTGTGTTAAAATCTTTCACAAAAATTAACCTCTCTGCACTGGCAAGTGATAACTGCAGTGGCTATGATCCCCGCAAAAAAAAAAAAAACTGCAGTGGCTATGAGCAAACGCGTTCACTAAGAGTGGTTCTTCATATTTTTTCCCTGATTTGACCGTGAGCTTATGATTCTCCATGATAGCAAGTTCACACAACTCAGTTGCGTAGGTGAAAATTTGTAATATGGTGTACCCACGATTTTTATTCTTCACGCTTTGCAGGTCATGGGGGCGTTATGTCTGCCCCTCAAACGGCAAAAGTCGCCATGATTTTGCTACCGACACTGCTGCTTATTTCTGATGCTATTTGCAATACCCATTGCTCGGCAATCCTTGATAACAGCACGGACATGCTCTCGTTGCTAGATTTTAAGCGGGCCATCATCAACGACCCAAGGCAAGCTTTAAGCTCCTGGAACACCGGCATCTCCCGTTGCCAGTGGGAGGGAGTCAAGTGCAGCCTGACGCACCCCGGGCGTGTCACGGCCCTGAATCTGGGCGGCCTAGGCTTGTCTGGCCCAATTTCCCCATCTCTCGGAAACCTAACTTTCCTCAAGTCATTGAACTTGTCCGCAAATGGCTTCGCTGGCGAGTTACCTCCTTTCAACCGTCTGCACAATCTGCAACGACTTGTGATGAGAGATAACTCATTGCAAGGAGTCATTCCAAATACGCTTACAAATTGTTCCAACCTAATTCACTTGGACCTATCTGGTAACTTCCTCGTAGGTGAAATTCCCCACAATATAGGTTTCCTCTCCAATCTATTAAGTTTAGTGCTTTTCCAAAATAATCTTACCGGAAGGATCCCGCCAAGCCTGGGAAACATCAGCCAGCAGTTAAAAGGAATGGATCTTGCAGATAATCAGCTCACAGGAAGCAGTCCCGATGAGATAGGGCAAATGCCAAATCTGCTGGGTTTAGTTCTCTCTGATAATAGGCTGTCAGGAGGGATCCCACTGTACAATCATTCTTCTCTCCTACTTTTAGACGTAGGTAGCAATATGCTGGAGAAAGCATTGACATCTGACTTTGGCGACAACCTTCCGAGTTTGCGGACACTCATGCTGGGCTCCAACAAGTTGCATGGTCATATCCCAGCTTCACTAGGCAACATTTCAGAGCTAGCCACGTTAGACTTGTCATCCAACAATTTCATTGGCCAAGTTCCAACTTCTCTTGGTAGGCTTGGGATGCTGAGTTTCCTAAACCTTCAGGCAAACAAGCTCTCATCAAAGGATACCCAAGGCTGGGAATTCATAGGTGGGTTAAGCAATTGCAGTTCCCTGAACGTTCTCGGACTAGCTCAGAATCAGTTGCAAGGAGCTATACCAAATTCTATTGGTAAGTTGTCAACCCAACTTCAGGAGCTAGGCTTGGATGAAAACGAACTGTCAGGGCCAGTGCTCGTTAACATTGGGAACCTTAGTGCTTTAACAGTACTAGATCTATCTAACAACAAGCTCGACGGTCCAATTGAAGGGTGGGTTGGATAGCTGGAAAATCTAACAGTTTTAGCTCTTGGCGGGAATAGCTTCACTGGCCCAATTCCATCCTCTATTGGTCGTCTTAATAAATTGGCAGAGATCCATCTCGCAGAAAACGAGTTTCGAGATCGGATACCACCTACTATGGGATACCTCGCCATGCTCACGAAGTTGAACCTTAGTTATAACAATCTACGGGGTAACATTCCTAAAGAGATTTTCCGCACTACCTCCGGATTGACTGAATGTATATTATCGTACAACAATCTACAGGGCATGATCCCTACAGAGATAGGTAATCTTAAACAACTCTTTGCGCTGCATCTCTCATCCAACAAACTTTCTGGGGAAGTTCCTGGTGCTTTGGGTGAATGTCAAGAGCTGCAGATCATCCAAGTGGACCAGAATATTCTCACTGGGACCATTCCATTATCTTTGAGCAATCTGAAGAGCTTAACGGTGCTCAACATTTCACATAACAATTTGTCCGGATCCATTCCAACATCACTAGGTGACATGCAGTTTCTCCAATAGTTAGATCTCTCTTACAACCAACTGCATGGGGAAATACCACGAAGTGGAGTATTTGAAAATGTCACAGCCGTTTCTCTCAATGGGAATCGTGAACTTTGTGCGGAGCTGTAAATCTTCATATGCCCACTTGTCCTACCACTTCTTCGAGAGAAGGACGACTGTACTACTTCGTCAGAGCATTGATCCCTTTATTTGGCGTCGCATCACTCGTAATGTTAATTTATTTTGTACTACTCCTCAAGGGGAAGACACCAAAAACAGCATACTTACTGCTGCTTTCTTTTGGCAAGCATTTCCCAAGAGTTTCCTACAAGGATCTAGCTCAAGCTACACAGAGTTTTTCCGAGTCAAACCTGATTGGGAGAGGAAGCTACGGTTCAGTATATAGAGGAGAGTTAACTCAGGCTAAGATAGTTGTGGCTATTAAGGTTTTTGACCTTGAAGTGGGATCTGCAGACAAAAGCTTCATGTCAGAATGCGAAGTTTTGAGAAGTATTCGGCATCGAAATCTTGTTTCTATACTAACAGCATGTTCAACAGTAGATAATGATGGTAATGCTTTCAAAGCTCTGATCTATGAGTTCATGCCAAACGGGAATTTGTGTTAGAAGTATAATTATGTTTAAGTTAGAGATTAGGAGTTAGAGATAGAATAGGATTAAATCGTGTACGACTTGCCCTCTACTCCAAGTCTCTCTCCCTCATATTGTACTCTATATATACCCCACACTTGGGTCAGATCAATACAACATAGAACAACAGAAATATTAGCTATCCTATATTTTCTACATGGTATTAGAACGGTTTGTCCAACGACGCCGATCCTAGGACCTTCCTCCACTTCCACAGCGCGCCGCCCCCGGGAAGATTAATCTCCTCTTCCGGGGGCGCAGCACCCGATCAATCAAAGATTAGACCGGTCTCATAATTTAGATCCAATTTTCAAGGTCTTCAGCAGTAGATCAATTTCAGGTTTAGAAATTCTCATTAGATTAGTTTTTTCATTAGCCACCAAAAGAATCCGGCGATCCTTAGATGCAATACGTCCGGCGTAGGCATCCATCCGGATCGCATACGCAGATCTCCCGGCGGCTGCATCTGCATGGACTTTTTCGTCCGATCTGATCAAGCCGTCACCGATAAACCAGGAAGCGGCACACTCATGCGGCGCGGCAGGCTCGGGCTCTACATCGCTAAACTGCCCAGCTGCCACACGTACGATCCGATCAGCGCCTTGCTCATGCAGGCGATCTCCACACCGACGGCGCCCGAGGTACTTCACGGGCTGTCTCCGGGCATCAGGAGGGACCATGCACCGACACCGGGAGGGCGGCGGCTTCCCGATCCACCCAAAACAAGAGGAACATGCCGTCCATGCATGTTGACAGTACGTGAGCAAAGACGAGCCAAGTGCAAATACAATTAACGATCGTCCATGCATGCTACGTTGCGCGGATACTTCAAAAAGTGCGCGTATCCAGTCGGATACTGCCCCGATACTCGGATACTGCCCCGATACTTCCCGATACGTATCCCGTAAGTATCCCTCGATATTTTGATATTAAAAAAAGAAAATAATGTTTGATACTCCTAGGATACTTCTGCGATACCTTTTTGGATACCTGAAACCCCTCGTTCGACGTGAAATCCCCTCAATAATAAAGGCGCCTTTGAAGATTCCCAACATAGACGTGAGTTTATGTGAGCAAGAGAGAGTCGATGCATTGATTGGAACAGCAAACCTGGTCAAATCTCACGGCCAATTAATAAAAGTGGACTAAGTGCAAGAAAAGAAAGGGGTAATCTTATTGAGGCATGCTTTGACCTAGAAGCTCCTTAATTTTTTTCTTCATATTTGTAATAATTAATATTTAACATCTATATATAAACGTATCCCTGTATCCATGTTTTTAGAAAATTAACGTATCGGGCGTATCCCCGTATCGCGTATCCGATACGTATCCAAGTATCCGTGCAACGTAGCATGCATGTTCAAATCTCCATGCAGATTCACCAGCCTCGTCACGGACTCCACACGGACTCCACGATTGATGGTGCAGCTCCAATCAGTTTTCCGTCCATGCGACTACGGCACACAGCAGCCGTACGGCTTGTACGCGTACGTGACTACAACGCACCGGCCGAACTCGTCTACATCGACATTGATCCGCTACTTCTGCATCGAGCCGGCTGACCTGCACCGACTGCAATCTTCGAGCCACGTCCAATAACCGCTGCACCAAGCTATCTTCGCTGAGCGATCTACATCGACCCGCGCCACATCATCGAGCTGTACGTCTACATCATGCCCAAGAGAAAAAAAATCTTCATCGAGCACATGTATGAGAAGCGACTATGACATGCACCGTCCACATGCCAGGCGGGTGTGAAGAGAGATGCAAGTCTTCATCGACTTCTCCGGCGCGACACGGCATCGACACATCGTTGCCGCGAGGGACGCCTTCAAGCGACATCATCGTCGACACGCTGTTGCAACGCCATAGCCGACACTTCATCGCCAAGGTCTCCATCAACATGGTCTTCACCAGTATCATCGTCAACACACCGCTGCCGCCGCCTCGTCCACAAGATGGACACCTAGCGTTCTCTGACGGACTTTTCTGCAAGGCGCGACCTCGATGACGGCAATGACCGCGTCACGACGACGGCATCTTCTGCGTCATCCACGACGGCGCGACTGCATCGACACGGCGTCACTATAGTGACGACTCTACACGGCCACACGGTTCTGGCAAAACCGATGTGTGCTCGATGGGTTTCCTCCGATCTTGGCAAAAACGGTGGACTCATCGCCGACGGCACCCTCTGACATCCGCAAGGTGCATCGTCCATGTCTGCAGCTCCGTCAGAGCGCATTTTTTTGCGCCTCAGGTTTTGTGCGGCTTCATCATCCACGACGACCACACCATCGACCATGACTACCTCGACCACGGCTACATCATCATGATCGGTTACCTCGACATCGACATACGGGGCTGCGTCTACAGCAACTCATCGGCAACAACTCCAGTCAACAGCGTCCGCCTCGTCATTTGCGTCCACGACGTTCCCGCTATGACTGCGGGAGGGAATAGAGGAGAAGGCAGGAAGGCACCAGAAGGGGACGCAGTCACCGCCTTAACTGCCGACGCATCAGAGACGCAGTTGATGATGGCGTAGCGGAGAAGACGACAAAAGAGCAAGACTTCAAATTCAGTCGTAATCGTCCGCTTCACTCCCGTTACGACTGAGGGGAAATGTTAGAAGTATAATTATGTTTAAGTTAGAGATTAGGAGTTAGAGATAGAATAGGATTAAATCGTGTACGACTTGCCCTCTACTCCAAGTCTCTCTCCCTCATATTGTACTCTATATATACCCCACACTTGGGTCAGATCAATACAACATAGAACAACAGAAATATTAGCTATCCTATATTTTCTACAATTTGGACACATGGTTACATAAAAAATCTGCTGGTGAAGGCCGAAAGATTTTGAGCTTAGGGCAAAGAATAAGCATGGCTGTTAACATCGCTGATGCATTGGCCTACTTACACCATGATATGACAAGATGCATTGTCCATTGTGATTTGAAACCCAGCAACATCCTCTTAGACACTGATATGAATGCATATTTGGGTGACTTTGGCATTGCAAACCTCGTCCGGATTTCAAACTCAACATCAGTTGGACATTCAAGCTTAGCCACAAGCTCAATTGGATTGAAGGGAACTATAGGATATATTGCCCCAGCCCCCAGGTATTGTTCATCAGCACATCATATATTTGTGTAAAGCTCCATGTTTGAATATGGCCACATGGGCCATTTGGATTTGTATGTGACTAACCAGTTTCATTTCATATGTTTCAGAGTATGCTCAAACTGGCCAAGCATCAACCTATGGGGACGTTTACAGTTTTGGAATAGTTTTTCTAGAGATGCTGATAGGTAAAAGACCAACAGACCCTATATTTGACAACGAACTCAACATTGTGAATTTCGCAAGGAGGAACTTTCCAGATCAGATACTGCATATCATTGATGCTCATCTGCAAGAAGAATGCAAGGGACTCATTCATAGAAAACCGGAAGCAGGAGACGTGGTATATCAATGCTTGGTGTCCCTTGTGGAAGTAGCTCTATCTTGCACGCATCTGTTACCAAGAGAGCGAATGAACATGAGAGAAGTAGCCATGAAGCTGCACGCCGCCAGAACATCGTAGATATGTTGGAGCAACAGAGCGAGTGCAAGTTAAGCCATGTTACAGTGATTTGGAAAATGACACTTAACTTGTAATGATTTGACTCTTTCTCAATGTGCCATCGAGTTTGTATAAATTGAGTCGGAGAATTAAGATGATAAATTTGAATTGGCCAGGAGTGAAATACCGACTTTGACAGGAAAAACAGTCTGCTATTATGGCAACATGTGTTGTATATTACAAACACCTGCTCTGTCTTTGTCGAATACT